TGTAACATGAATAGGTTTTCAAAAAACTCCTTCCTACACAAATGGAAATTTTTTATAGCACCGCGATCCTCATCATTAAAAGAAAAATCAAAGCCTACAAATTCTTTCCAGACTACTAATGGCCTTGGTTGTTGTTATGGTTTTAATGTGCTTAGCAGTCACATTGTGGGCCCGTTTACGCACCAAGAGCAAGTTACATTTCCTAAATTGGAAGGAACTACCACACATTACTATACATATTTATATATATATATATATATAAATTTTATGATGGAAAGCAATCGTACATCGAATGAGAAAGCTATGTCTGCTTCGGGGGAGAGAAGTCCGAAACATATCCAAAATTTTAAGTTCCTTTTCTTTCCTTCTTCTTTCTGGGCGTGTTTATTGTCCCATTTACTTAGATGGTTTTATTTAGATGGTTCTGCCATAATTGTGTATCAGGGAAAACGGCAAACTGATACACTCACAAGAACTCTTATGTTCTTGATCTATGTGGATAGGAGTATGGGTTTGGCTATGTATGTCTGTCTGTCCATCTGTGAAAATCGTGATTACAAAAAAATCGTGGTCACAAAAATTTGTTTACTAAACCAAAATCTCAAATTCTTCGCATCTGTCTCAGCAAATTGTATTGAAAAGCCCGTTATACGATGGGCAATTAAACCGAATTCCAATTGCTGATCCTAATCTATTAGTCCTTTTCAATTATTTCTGTCTTCGCGAATGCAATCCGTCATAAGCATTAATCTGTGGATGTTACACAATATAATATAGAACCATGTAGATACCAGCAAATGATAACATGACATATATATAGAATACAAATGTTATAGATAACAAGTATATAGATAATAAACGATTTTTTTTAAAGCCAACTTTTAAAATTTCTGCCGGGAAATTCAGGAAATGTTAAATTTGTTTTTTTTCATCCAGTTCGGAATTTTCGGTTTACGAAGGTCTTTTATTTCTTGCTTGTTTTTCCGATTTGATACTGTCTAGAAAAGATGTGCAGGTCACCAGAAAGTAAAGCAGCGCACCTCGGGACAACCTAACTAACCAGTTGACAAATAAGAAAAGTGCGTACATGCTCTTCAAATAGCCGGTGTGCAGGAAGATCTCTTAGCCGTTACTATATCCAGTCCATATGGTCATGTCAAAATCCGTTACATCCCGAGAAGGAAGTTTCAGAGGTCCTATAATGGGTTTTTGACTATTGCCCGCAAACTACTCCAGATAAATCCGTAAAAATTGTCACGCATATTCTATGAGAGATGTTGTAATGTCTGTACATAAATTGAAAAAATAAGCCACGCACACCCAGTATCATAGTGGATCAAAATTTCATTTTTTTGCGAAGTCCATAAACAAGCGTCAGAGACCTGACAAAATATATATAATTATGGCCAATGTTAAGTTTAAGCACATCCCTCCATTAAGGTATGTCCATCTGTGCATAGGTGTGTGTTATAGCTGTTTCAAATTTGGAATATGACCTCAATCGGTCAAAAGATATGTCTACAATACAACACAAACAAAGGAAAACTCTGCTTTCTACAATTTTTACTAACTGGTCATAAATTATAGAAAATAGACAATAAAGACTTCGACATATATTCGGAAAAAAGCGTTAAAACCAACCATATCCATCCATTGCTATAAAGTGTGAAAGTTTAGTGGTCGAAATAAGAGATTCGGCTACAAATGAATATAACTTTTTTATATGTATACAGGCTGAGGGGAATAATTTTTGTAACAAAGTTTAAGATAATTCTGATGAACATATTTGCTTAACGAATGTTTGTTTGATGCCACGGCAAGTTTATGACAACATTGCGAAATTTCGGTAATTTATTGAGGCCAGTTTGACCTCTTTGAGCTTTACCGCATAGTAGTTAGCATATTACACTCAATCCCGAGTGTGATCCAAAAAATTGATTAAACGTATAGAGTTCACATAGCAATGCTGAGGTCATTGTTTCTCTGTCAACAATTTAGGCAGAACAGATACACAGATAGATTGGATGAATATCGAAAACACATGCACACTGCTCACACGTGAACTAAAACGCAGAATTTCAAACGATAATAAGTACAAGTATGTATAGGTAAATAATAAGGCAGAGTAAGTTTGAATGAGCAAAAAAAAAAAAAAAAGAAAAAAAACGCAACATTGTACATATAAATGGTCTTTATCGGTTTTAATAATAACGCTAACGATGGATGTGAGCAAACTGTGACCTTTATAGAAATTGTCATGCGTCACTTTTCAGCATTTACACGAAATTATTCAGGAAACGGATTATGTATTTTTTATCAATTCTCGCTCTTCGGCGAGGCAAGGAAAGATAATCTCTTTTCTTTGCATTATGCATAAGTATCGTCATAATCTTCTTTCCTATTATTTATTTTAAGAAAAATGGAGGACAAGCCAGGCCTTTGGTTGTTTACAGACAATCAATATAATGTCAACAGCGATAATATCGTATAGAAAAAAAAGAAAGAGAAAATTATATACACATCATATTATTCTAACCTAAAATAAGAATTATATATTTATTAATTAAGACCTAATCCATCCTTATTAAACAAACCAGAAGCAAGTAAGAAATTGTAAAGTGGGCTTCGGTCCATCGTTAAATATTCTGCACCATCCCATAGTTCTTCGTATAACGACTTTTTAAAAGGAAGCGTTGTGTGAGAAGTGGTCGAAGAAGTGCTTCGATCCAAACCATTTTCGATGGGATTGATCTTTGGGCCAAGACATGTCGATCAAATTTAATCAAAATATCTCAAAACTTGCGATCCATAGGTCGAACACAAGAAAACAAAAAGACGGACGGACAGCCAAACTTAGATACATTCAGAAAGTGATTCAGAAAGTTTAATTTCCTTTAGGAAAAATTAAGAATTTGATTAAAATTTGCAAAACGTAATTTTGCAAATCTATTAATGGCTTTGGAAATATACTCAAAGAAATATCTTAGTTAGCTGGTTACTTTCATTAGAAAGGTATGGCTTTAATTATTTCTCATTGCTGACGAAAATTTGTCTTTTCTGGAGCTGCTTATCACTCAGGCGATGCCACTACTGGTCTGAGGAAACAGTCATGGAGATGATGGTCGCCACATATAGAGTAATGTTAAGCCTATACCACTAAAGCATTCACTTTAGTTAGGAGCAAAGTCTGTGTTTTTTAAGAGACTTGAATTTGGACGCAGTACTTGTGAAGCTTAGAGAAAATTTTGAAAATGCTTTTAAACAATTTTAGCGAGCTTTTCTTTTAAATATTTCCACTTTTTCCTGATTGCCTTTCTTTTATTTATTTAGGTTTTTTTTTTCTCGGCTCCTCTTAATTAGTTAGAAATACAATAGAAATAACAAAGCATTCATAAATAAAGTTAAAAATTTAATATTTTTTATACCTAACTAAAATTTCGTTTGTTCTTTTTAAAAAAAGTTAAATATTTTTATATCGTTTCAGTTCAAGTGTGTTAAAGAAACCTAAAATAAAGCGAACTTATGGAAGAAAACTGAATATTTATTTCTCCTGGTATAGTAGAGTACCAGGGCGCTTCTAATTGATAGTGGCTCCGCAGAACAGAGAGAAAAAAAAATGGGAAAAGATGGTAAACTGAGCTTAATTCGAGGTAAGTGATTTTATTTGCATTTTTCTCATTTTTATTTGTTTATTTATTTAATTATTTTATTTTATTTTATTTTTGTTCCTACAAATATTTTCCTTTATTGCAAAAAGTACTAATTGTATTGTTTAAGCTTCGTTTTTTCGTATCATTACACTTATTATGTAAATTCGTTTAGTATTTCAGGAAAAACGAAAAGAAAAACCTAAAATTTTTATTATATTTAGTTTTACGTTTACATTTCACTCTTTACAAAGTTATTCGAAGGGTACAACAAAATCACGAAAAGATTATTAAAATTGTTCTACTGATTTTTTTCTTTTTTCATTTCTATTTTCCTCTTTTTTTATTTTTTATAAATTCTTACCAACGTGTTTTCTTTGGGTGTATTGAGTAAATAAAAAAATTTCTACATTGATAATAATGCTGAATACATTTCTATGGGGTGTATATATGAGAGAGAGTTTGCATGTATATATAAGATGTGTGCTAAAGTTGATGGTGATTTAATATTTACAATGGATTGAACAGAGAAACAGAAAGAAATTCACTCTAGTGTTGTGCCAGGCTTTTTAGTTTTTTTTTTCTATTTGTATTTCTATCTTTTGCTTTTGCTATCGCTTTCGCTTTTATATTTTCTTTTATAAATATTTGTGTTTTTCTTCTTTTAGTTTTTAAAACTTAAAAATGTTCGTTGGCAAATTTTTCATTTTGTTTGTATTTTTTTTTCTTTTTGTATATTGTTGCAGTGTTTTGTTTTATTACTGAAGGTGCTTTTTAATGTTTTCTCATTTTTTTTTTTTTTTTTTTTTGTTGTTTCTTTTTCATTTTTTGTCTACTTTTGCTTAAAATTTATATATTTATTTATGTATTTTTTTTTTTGAAAGAAACTAAAATAAGAAAAAACAAAAAAATCAACAGAACAACTATTCTTCGTTTTTCTTTAACTTTGAATAAAACTCATGTTCCCATCATGTGTGTCTATGCATGTGTTTGTGTGTGGCTGTATGTGTTTGCTTATATATGTACGTAAATGTACAAATGTGTGCACAGAAAAGCCTATAGATTTTTTTTTTTTTTTCTATCTTGTTTTCCTTATATCTTTTTCGCTTTAATAAATAGTTTTTTTTTTGTTTTTTTCAGTTTTTAAGGTAAGCATACGGTGTTCTAGTTCTTATTTTTTTTCCAATTTTTCTTTGCTTTCTTTGTATTATTAAGAATTTGTAGTTATTTTTGCTTTCTGATTTGAACCTTTCTAGAGTCATTTGAGCAAGTGTATATACAAACTTACAGCTTTATCTGAGTTCATTTAATCGATTCTCTGGTCAAGTGTTTTCAATCCGATTTCGTTTTTTGTTCATTTATGCATTAAACTTTACAGTTAGGCGCTGCAAGAAATGAAAAAAATTAAAAAACAAAAAATTAAAAATTATAATTAAAAAATTTCCATCATCTACAAGATGCTAAGGGAAATGTAGATTTTTTTTTTGTTTTTAGTAAAAATGTTAAGCTTTTGAATCAAAATTGAAAATCGATCAATGGATAAATCCAAACTTTTTTTCGTTTAACTTCTAGTAGTTTTCTTATTAAGCATGACAGTCTTCAATGCTGAGCTTCTTACCTCAGCTCTTGTTAGAATCAAATCTTGGGGCGCTTCGTAATCTACCTTAAAAGAGCTTTTAACAACTAGTAAAAACTTTACAGTGGGTCACGACCCATCATTAAATACCTTTCACCACAATAGTTATGCACATAAATATTTTTTAATAGAAAGCATTACATGAAAAGTGGGCGAAAAAGTCGTGCGATCCGCACCATTTTCAATAGCGTTCGTCAGAACACATCAGTGCATCAAATTTCATCTAAATAGCTCAAGAATTGCGGACTGTAAATTGAACCCAAGAAAACAAGATGGACGGACGGACGGACAGACAAGGTTCAATCGATTTAGAAAGTGATTCTGAACCGATATATATAGGCATAATAGAAAAATAGAATATAGAACAGATGGACAGACAACCCTAAATCGTTCCTAAAGGTGATTCTGAATGTAATGTGGATCCACCTCAACTCCTCCTAGAAATTGCATACATCGGCATACGACAAGTAGTGTAGGGCTTAACAATAAAACAAATTTGATACTAACATCATTGAAATTATATTCAACATCTTACATGGCACGCTACTAACGCTTAAGTCTAAAACAGATAGTTCACAGGACGAAACAGTACGAAACTGTCGAAGATGAAAAGCTACTAATATTTAACTCTTGTTTACCCCGAGAAAAATAATTAGTGTGTTTTAAGATATTCTTGGAATGCTGGTATCAATTTTTAGGCTCTTAAGCTCTTAAGCTGTGATTGTTATCGAAAATTTAATTTTGCAAGCTTTTTAAAGATATTATTATTTATGTATCTTCTTATCTTATACGAAACTAAAATTAATCAATTAATTTTCTTTAATTTTGCTTGTCTTACCTCAAATTCAAATTAAATTTCATCAATGATACCACAGCCTATTTGTTGGTGTTGCTCTTGTCGCCGTAATTTGCTGTTTTCGGAAATTATTCGTAGCATTTTTTGTGTTCATTAAATCAATTGCAACACTTTGCTTTGTAATCTCATCAATAACATCATCATCTTCGTCGGTAACAATATCACTATCACAACTGCCATCATCGTCTTCTTCATCGAGACGAATTTTCTCGTTTCGATTTCTCAGTTTATCACTATCACCATCATCGTCGTCGTCATCATCATCATCATCATCATCGTCGTCATTGTCATCATCATATACATCGTCTTCTACATATTTCTGCAAAGTGATGCCCACGATATCGGTAGCCGCTGTAGACGATAAGGGAAAATAATTATCATCATCATTGATTTGTGGTTCGCCATTCAAATGCAAGGCAGTAGTAGCGGCAGTGGATGAAGAGATTGTTGATGGTATTGATAATGATATGTTATCACAGTTAAAACGTGATATTTTCCAGACTTTTAAATCAAGACTTTTCTCTGCCGTAGCCATTGTTGTCGACGAAACTTTTACTGGAGACTTTTGTAGCCTGTCGTTCGTTTGATGTAAATGATTTAATGTTAGGCTGTATTTAGGAGATCGTTGCTGCTGTTGTTTTTGTATTGAATAACAACGATAATGTGACTCTTGCTGTTGTTGTTGCTGTAGCTGCTGTGAGTGGTGCTTAGGCATGGTAGTGTTTAGAATATTTAGTCTTTTGAAATCTTTTAGTGATTGTGCCGTTTTCGAGGGTTGTTGTTGCTGTTGTTGTTGTTGTTTTTGTTGCTGCTGTTGTTGTTTGCTATTAACTTTGCTGCTCGTGCTAAACTGATTATTAATCATTCCTAGTTGTCGTAGTTGTTGTTGCTGTTCGTTATTTAATGCTACAAAATTTTCAATAGCTGTTGTTGTTATTGTTGTTGTAGCTGTTGCTGTTGCTGTTGCTTGTGTGATAATTTCTATCGCCGCTTTTGCAGGTTTCTGAATAAATGTTTTTTCTACAAACTAAAGATTATCAGGATAACTACGAAAATTGTAGGTTCTTGCGCGTTGAAATTGCATATTATCACTGTTGCTGGCATTAGAATTACCACTGCCGGTACCCCCGCCGCCACCGCCGCCAACACCGCCACCACTGCCAACTCCACTACTGTTGTACGCATTTATCATGGGTGCCGTTGACTGTGAGTTCATCGTACCCATGTTATCGTCATAATTATGTTCGCTGCTTAAATTACTGCTTGCTTTACTACTCATTGTATTGCTAGCTGCACCGCTGCTACCGCTGCCGGCCCCGCCAGCGCCCATTCCTTTGATGGGCTTAAATATCGCCGTAGTAGCATAGTATTTCTCCATGGGTGGTGGTGGTACTTGCGGCGGTCGAGGAAATATACTACTCAATGGGGGAGGCGGTGTACGACGCACATTCACGTAACCTGCTTGCGCTGAATTAGATATCTTGCTGGCTGGCATATAATCTTGCATATGAGGCACGGCATAACCACCCTCTGGTACATCTAAGCATTGAAACGAATGAAAATCACAAGCAAACACATATATATATATTAGTTTTACTGCTTTAACTTTTTTTTGTTTATTTTGTTATTCATTTCGCATTTTGCATAATGTGTTTTTGAAAAATATTTATAAGGTTTCCAATAATTTTGATTTGTGTATGTGTTTACCTGTATAATCTGGCGTCATATTACATTGCAAATCGTTGACCGCAGCGTAACCATTCACACCGCTCGTATACATATTTACATTGAAAGGTTCATGATATAAACTATTTTTACCGATTGAATCGCTGTCGTCGACATTGGCCTAAAAACAAGCATAAGCAAAATAAAAATTTAATAGAAGCAGGCAAAGTAAGGCAAAATATTTTTTCTTTTTTTTTTTTTATTATATGAAAGTCGTTTACAATGTATGTGTAGTTAGTTATTCTTACCTTAATGCTGGAGCCATTTGCCCGATGTTTGTCCACATTGCTGCCTAAGGTATTTGGATTAAAACTATATTGGAATGCATCTAACACATTACTGCCCCGCGCTCGCTTTGTTCGCGAAACAATGAACAGAATCACTGCCACTAATAGAATGATAATCGTGGTTAACACTACAATAACCACGCCTATGAAATTCTCTTCGGAGGGCTCTTGATCGATGGGTTTCGGAGCGATTACTGCAATTTGAAAAGACGTTTATCAAATTTTATGAATAACTTTCTTCTATTCTTTCTTATTTTAATTGTAATTATGTTTTCCCCATAAGCCTTTTAATGTCTAACCTACTGTTGCTATTTATATATTAATTTTGTTTTCTTTGAACCGCTGCTGCTCTCTTTAGTTTTTACAAGTGTTTCTAATATTTTCTGCTTCTTATCGATATTTCCACTTTTACTACTACTTGTAGTTCTAATTCCACTTCTATTACTCTTGCTTCTTCTTCTGTTCCTATTTCTAGCTCTATATCTACTTCTACTTCTTCCTCTCTACCTCTAGATTTCATTTATGCTGCTCCTTCCATATTTACATTTACTTATATATATTATGCTGCCCCTTTCACATTTACTTATATTTAACATTCGTCTTTTATTTCTGCTCCTATTTCTATTTTAAATCCTTTTCCTACTTCTGCTTCTACTATTTCCTTTTCTGTTTTTATTATTACTTCTTGTACTCATTACTACTTGTAATTGTATTTCTATTTCCACTTAGACTCCTATTTCTACTTCTTCCATTTCGATTTCTAATTACATTTCTACCTCTTTTCCTACTTCTACTACTACTTCTATTTCTACCTCTACTATCTATCTACTCCTGTCTCTACTTCTACATTTATTTTTCTACTTGCACTTCTGTACTTACTTCTCGATCTACACTAACCTTTATTTTTATATCTACTTCTGTTCTACTTCAATTTTGTTATAATGTTTACAGCACCCAAAGCAAGCAGTCATATATATATATATATATATATATATATATATATATATATATATGCTCTTCATTAGCGTTAAATTCTGCCATGTCTGTCCGTCGGTATGGTTTGTTTTCTTAACACTCTCTTAATCGCAGAATTGAAAATATCGGTTTCAAATTTGGTAGAAACATTGGAACTTTCTGTACATAGTTTAATATTGAAGGAGGGTTAAATTGGTCAGAGCATACGACCGCAGTAAGACGTAAAGTGAACGTAAGTCCGTTTCTATAAGCAAAAATTTGTGAGTTGCTTCTATTTCTACCTTTACATCTGTTGATGCTTCGATTACCGTTTGTACTTGTACTTATGTCTCTATTTCTGTTTCTACTTGTATTTCTACTTCTATTTCCAGCTCGCCTTCTGCCTCCTCTTCTCTTATTATACTTCTTTTATTTTGTTCTATTTTATTCTTTCCTCTTTTACGGGCATGTTTTATCGTTTTCAATGTTCTCCTCTGTTTGTTAAATTATTCTATTTATTTATTTATTTTTTTTTATATATATATTTCTTTTTCCGGCTTTATTTGAATTTCAATTTTTCATTCAATAATTTCGTGTGATTTTTTCTCGATTTTTTATGTTTTCATAATGTTACTTACACTGCGGTCCATTATTATAATTTCTTTCGCTATTAAAATTTGTTGTCGTCATTTTGCCACCGCCGCTGCTAACGCCGCCACCATTTTTATTATTATGATGATATTCATTACTTTGTAAAGGATATTCACGAGTATCCTGTGGCAATAAGGCGCCACGCTGTTCCTGTTCGTCTGTAAAATTTCCCACGGCTGGCACTAAAAGAATGCGAACAAAAGAAAAACAAAAGAAATATCAAAGTCAGTTGAAACTAGAGGCATAAAATTTCATGAATTTTCTTTTATCTCAGCAAAAAAGTTTGCTTTTGCGAAAAAAAAATTTTCCTTTTAAAATATATGTAAATATATCATAAGCTTTAAAGAGAGATTTTCTACTCATCTATCTACTCATTATATAATAACAACAATGAAATTAATTTTTCTATTATATATATAATCATTGGGCGAGGGGTGGACTATTTATCCCCTGCCGAAGTGTTAAATACTTGGGTGTCATTATCATTATGCAAATTAGTATGAGTTTTGCTTCTCAGAAAGATTCGGAATAATAGTGTATTCGCCATTGTTAAGCAAATGGTTTTATGTCTCCGTTTTTTCCAGCAAAATTCGTTTTGTACGAAAGTACTTCAACGGAATTAAAAACTACTTTGAATAGCATTAACTCTTCTTTGAATAGAAATAACGAAATAACTTCCATTGTTGCTCATTACAGCATAAAACAGGATCTTCTGGAAGATCGATATGCGACCTCCTAACGATTTAAATCGTGGTAGTATTTGCAGATGCCAAGGATCTGCCGCCTTCATGAACCCCGACATGCGCTTTTGTGGGATTACCTATAAAATTTAAGTGTATTTTTAGCTAAAGTAAGGGCTAGACTCAATTAGTTCACTTTCGGTGGCTTGCTTCTTATTCAAATTCTCAAGGTCGCATAATTAAGACGTACAATTTATATTTATTTATTCAGTTCAAGCATATTCAACTGCAAATGAATTAAAACTTATGAGTAACAAGTAAAAGCATTATAGTGGGACCCTTCCTCAAATAAATACCTTACCGCCTTCGCTTAATACAATTATTCATCTAACGATTTTTCAAAATAAGGCCTGATACGGGAAGCGGCCGAAGAAGTCCTGGGATAGAAATCGTTTTCAGTAGCATTCGTCCTTAGGCCAAAACTAACCGGTGTTCCGCATTTCCGTGAAAGATCTCTTTTAGGTTCAACACAATAAGATGTAGACAGATAAGAGATGTCGGGACATGTGGACAAGCTTAGATCAATTCAAAATCACTTTCAATATTAAAAAAAGGTGTCTCTATCTCAAGTCCCTTTTAGCGTTGCATACATCTACACAATCTTAATACATTGCAAAGAGTGTAAGATACAAAAATAAAACCTAAATACCGTAGACCACCTGGCAACATGAGTTCCTAGAGGATGGATTCGTATAACAAGGCGGAAAAATCATGACCGTATTCGCATAACGCACTGGAAAGGTCTTGTGTAACGCGGTAAAGAAATGAGACAGATGGCAGAGGTTACTCTGTACCTAGACGAAGGAAGAAAGGAAAGGCTTCGTTCTTTTTGTCGATAATTTAATCTTGACAAAGGGACGTGTATTTCTCGTAGAAGTTGTAGTCCTTGATCCAATAATTACAATAAGTAATTGATCACTACTAACGACTTTTGTTGTAATTTATTTTGATGACGAATAAACCTTTTGTCAGTCCGTCTGTCCATCTGTCTGTTAATTGCTCTGGATGTAGAGATATCTGAATACGGATATTGAAAACGGTCCAAGTCGCTAAAAGTACTCAACCATAATACGATACAATACTTGTATTGAGTATATCGCGGCTTTCTCGGTTTTTTGCCCACAAAATACAACCCACGGTATAAATTTATACCTTTATTCTACAAAAATTAAAAAGATCAGCCATGCGCACTCGATATTACAACGTAGGACAATTTAGTAGTTACCCGGAGACGGGTGTAAAGGATTCGGTCGCGGCCGAGTATAATTTCTTTTACTTGTATATTAATCATTTCGATATTTATATGTTGTTTTTTTTTCCCCAGTCAATAATAGGCGTTTCAGTTTGTTTGGTAGCATTCATTGTCGCTTATATACGCAGCAATAAAACCGACAACAATTGCTAAATAAGTTTATCACTAATGAAATTCTCGGCGTTTCTTTCCATTGTAAAAGCCGGGCGAAAAAAAAAATGAATTTTTTTTAAACATCTGCGGTTTTTATATTTTTGTTGTTTTTATCCTTGACAAGGATAACAATAGACAAAAGAACCCTTCAGCACTCATTCAAAAGCAGAGATATCATCATATAGTAGTGACTAAAGATACATAAAATTCTCTCTCTGCCTTCCACCAGCAAGCAATGTACAAAAACTTGCTAAACCATTTTAATTGACGTGAAAACAAACACAAAAAACAAAAAGCACTCGTTCACTATTACCAAAGCCCAATTTGCTGAAGACGAATCTTTGATACCACTAATACATACATACACATATGGTACTTTATTTCGTTAATAGATGGTAAGCAAGTGATAGCAGTTTTTACGTAAAATTTAATTTGACTTAAATACGCTACAGAACGGTATGATATATCTGCGATCAGGACCTTTAAAGCGCTTAATAGAAATATTTTAAAATCGTCTTTTGTAAATTCTTTATCACATTATTATGCTTTCGCAGGCAAGTTTTTCGAAAGACTCAAGACATCTCTACGATCGCTATTTACGAGCACGTGCATTAGATTCACGCTTTCCACCCTTAGTTTCAAAAATGGAATAATTTATGTGCGGAGTCGCTTGATTCCCCAGCTAATACATAATTATGCCTTGTGTCGATTCAACGTTGATATCTATATTGTCATCTTTGATGATTATTCCAAGCAAATAAGCGATAAAGAATTATATTAATGCGTAGTTTCGAAGCCCAATAGGTCGGTTAATGCTATTTTCCTGCTGCACTTTTTAAAGTATTTCTATCAATGTTCGCTTTGGTTTGTTGTCCAAAATGAGCTTTGTGTGTTACAGACCGAATGACACAATTATTATACGGCTTACTCCGTGATAGTGTATACTAAAATATGTCTGCATTCGTTTATATATACTATAGAATGCAAGAAAAAAAAAAGCCATAAATGAAGGCAGAGAGATTGAAAACAAGGTAAAATCGTTATTGACATGAATAAAAATGAACATAACTGTCGGTTATGAAATGAAAATTTTTTACACAATTTTTGAAACGAAAGGGAAGGTCAGAAAGAGAAAGCTAAAGAATTTAAGCAATTAAAATTTAAAGTTAAAATATAAAGCTTAACTACGACCAACGTACGTTCGCAAACCATAAAGATGGTGGCACGGCAGGACATCCTTGACCTGAAGTTTTCAATAGATTGAATATAAGTTATTTAATAGGAATTTGGCGTGCCATTAAACACTTCAGTGGTGGTTTATTTTGCACGAAAAAGAAGAAATGAGTGTTTTTAATAGCCACTGATGAAACAAAAGGAATTCCACGAATTATCAGGAAATTATGCGTAACCCTCTTAATGCAAAATTTTAACGCTTTCGAGGAAGAACAAAAACAAACTCAGTAAATTATTTATGGATATTTATTTAAAGCACAAACAAAAGCGTAACTGAACTCAATTCATAATAAAGAAATCGGTGAAACGAAAAACAAAAAAAAAAAAAAAAAAACATAAAAATTCTAAGAAAAAAAATTAAAAGAATTAAAAAAAAAAAAAAAAAAGAAGAAACAAAAAACCCCGTCTCTGATGAAAAAGCTTCACTTGAAACGATAATTGTCTTTATTATGTCGGCTTCATAATGAAAAAATGTATTATGCATTATGAGACGACATAATACCTTGAAAATGGAGAAATAAGTTATCATTGTCACTGTGGACGACATCACAACACCATTTTTTTACTAAATAAAACTAAAAACTCGCTGTACGATCATTAAAATTATAATTAATTCAAAAAGAAATAATGCAAAAAAAGAAAACAAAAACAAAATGATTGAAAAAAAATGCGATGAAAATTGCATTCATATCAATTCATTTCGTCACACGTTCGGATTCGGAGAATCAAAGTGCGGACAACCCTCTTATAGTAGTGCATTTTATTGCATTGGTGTGCATCAATGGCAGCTAAACGTGTGGAACAATCAAAAAGGTATATCAATGAACATTTCTATTCATTTCATTTCATTTCATTTCATTTCATATCATAATAGCTTTGAAGGGTAATTTTTTTCTTCTGTCCATACAATGCACACTCTCTCTGGACATTTTATTGACTTTTTCTCCCTCTTTCCCTAAAACGCTTATTCATGTTATTTTACTGTTGTCATGGTGGGCTATTGTGTGATAACCGAGAAGGAGCAAAAACATAAAAAAAAAAAGAAAAAATAATAAAAAAAAAACCTTCTGTCCTTTCACATCTAATGAAACTGCAATGAACTGTACCGAAACTCTGCTAAATAAGAAGAAAGAAAAAAAGGGGGAAAAAAAAGGAACAAAATCACTAAACGTTTTTATGCAAAATGCATTTTCAAGTGTTTCACACTTGAAAGAGAAATGAAGCTGAAAATGATTTCTCGTATATGCAATGCAAAACTAAACATTGCTCTTCACATATAGATTAAATCCAGATTGCTAGCAATACTGCTTCAATAAACATATAAAAAATCAAAAAAAGGAAAAAAAAATTAATAAAAAAAATCGTAGAAAAGAAAGAAAGTTGTATTCGCTTTTATGAGGCGAGTTTTTCATACCCACCGTCACGAATGAATGCGTAACTATAGGATTGTGGGCGTGTAAGCACGGGAATGAAAATAATTTTTACCCTGATCATCAAATCAATCATATTTACATTTGCAGTGAACTTCTCAATGGCCTTCTCGTATATTTCGACCAATATCTGCTATAGATTTTGTTCGGACGAATAGAGTTAGTTGACCTCCTTTAGGGTTCTATGCTATTAATGTTATTGAAAGTTAATCTGTGTTTCCGAGAAAGTAGTGAACGCTAGGCCAAAGCTAATCTACCTCATTTATTATAGAATTGAAAAAAAAAAAATAAATAAATAAATAAAAGAGTAAATGGACAATGCTTATGCCTCTTACCAGATACGAATGAGATTTCCGACAGCATGATCCATTTAACCGCAAAATACAAGTTAATTTTTAGATATTTGCCAACACGATGATGTAATTTTATCGTAACATCCCTGGCATGATCCATGATTGTATCGGGCATATAGGAGAATTGTACCGGTTCACCAGAAAAACGATGACCGCCTATGCTAAAAAACACCTTAGCATGGACAAAAACCTGAAAATATTAAAAATTTGCATAATTTTATAATTTTTTATTCAACAATATATATTGTTATAAATAATACATCGTTCAAGGCAACATGCTAGATTTCATCTATGGAAAATCTCATAAAGTGCATAAGTCCTTAACCGGTACAAAATTTTCATTTCTCTGTATTCTGAACGTCGTCCTTGGTTGCTAAAGTTCGCGCTCGTATGTATAATTGATTTGAAGCCACACAATAAATACAATCTGTGCTTGCGGACGTAGTTCGCACCCAGTAAACAGAAAAACCATCATTCGCTATCAATAGTAGCACTGAGCAGATACGCCAGATAAACGATTTGTTATTGTAAAAAGAAGTCGTAGTCCGTCTACAGATACCCTTAAAGGAGACAATAGATTGTCTCTTATAGTCTTGATTTTAACTTAAAACCCTTCGTTAAGGATGGCTTAAAGCACCGCTTGATTAATAAATTTAACAAAATATTTTGTCAGTATTAGTTTGCGATGGAGATATCAAATATGCCCCGTAACGCTAATCGCCATTGTAAAAACTTAAATGGCGTCATGTAAGCAGGAGATGCATGAAAAAGTAAACGAAGTGAAAGAAAGCCAAGATCGTGTTAAGACGTAGCTCTGACAATCTATCCTAATCGCACCTCTATGGGGTTTGAAAATATGAGTGAGTAGACAGTCTCCGAATCAATTGCATAAAAATCATATATTTGAATGGCACTTAGAAATTTCTTCTTATTAACCGTAGTACTTGCCTTACCGTTTTCAAGGTATTAAGAAAATAACTATCAGACCGAAAGATCAAAATCTATGCACATATTAATATATATATTTTAATTAAAAACATATATCTATATATAATTTTAAAAGTTTCTCTTTCAAAATGTTTCTAAGTGTTACCCTCAGAATAAGTCCATTTATTGCTGATAATATGAAAAGCGCAGTAGAAGTTGTGAAAACCTATTATCACTTGTACATTTATATATACTGAGACTTGCAGACATCAAGCTACGTGTCCTTTGGCTCATTTTCTTGGATGTAAAAATTTTTCTATCAAATTTGAGTTTTGCGGTCAGAAGAGGGTCAACAACGCACGCTACAAAAACAGACAAACAAAGTTACATCGATCCAGAATAGCAAGCGGATGAGGAGTATGAATTATATACTTTGTAGGGTCTCTGAGGCTTAAATACACGCGTTATTAACTTAGAGATCTCATTTGCCGTCTAGTTACAATGAAAGGGGGTTTCTTCCTTTTATACTCTCCATCATTTGTGGAACAACGTTCCACACAAGTTTATGTGTACTTATGCAAAACCCAGAAGGACCTGAGGTATATCCATCTTTTATCATAACGATCTACTCAGAACTTCTGAGACTTTCTGAGCTTGTCTGTCTGCCTGTACGTCTTGTTTTTTGGTGTTCAATAAATTTTTGCGACATTTTGATGAAATTTGGTGCTTTGAACTCTTTTGGTCAAAGGGCGCTTCTGAAGATAACTCAGGTCGTACTAGATTTTCGATAACTTCCCATATAACGCCTCATTAAGAAAAGTCATTATATGAGTAAGTGTATGGTGTTCGGTCTTTTGTCTTGTTAATTGGTTTTTTAGATAATTTCGAGAAAGCCGATAGCTTTAGATTCTAGTGCTTTAAGTTTTTTGACTTCGAATTTATTTCTCTGGCTAAACTAATTAAAATAATAATAATGAATTATTTATTAAATATATAGAATATATTTATATACTTTCTTTTCGTTCAATCTTACCTGGACGTCTTTGGTGAACATATTATTAGTGTGCAGTATAATGGCACTGAAATTTCGTACGGTATCAAACTCGAATACAATCTCCACCGGCTTACCCATTAAGCCGGGTGTATCGTTACGCCAACCGATCCATTCATAACCTTGAAAATGAACAAGAAGTAAGAGAAAAGGTTAATAAAGCAAAACGTTTGCCTTTAACGTTATAAAAATTTATTTTCGCATTGCGAATATTTAGCGTAAATTTTAGAACTTATAGGTTTTGCCGTCAGAGCTAAAGTTATTTACATGCATGAGTTGGGATTGGTATTTAAATAAAATAAAATAATTTTTAAACACGCACCAGACACAATACACAGTTACTAACGAAAGTATAACATTCATATTAAATTCCTTTAGTTAAGAAACAATTTTATGAAAATTTATGTCTACCCAACATGTATTTCTGCGCGTCGCTTCTTCACTCTCCGTTTCCTTCTTCGCTATTACATAAGCTAAACATTATTTTATTTTATTTATTTATTTATTTTTTTTTTTGTAGATACTGTTGCTGTGGTTGTTACACAAAGTTACAGCCCTCCTACTATAAACAAATAGAAATAATGCGGCAACAAAAATTATTACCTCGAGAACGCGACATTTAAACCTTTTTCCCTCACAAATATATATATATATATATATATATATATATATATATACATACACACACATAACAAATAAAATGTACACACACGCCATAAAATAACATTGCCTTGGCCTGGCAAGGTCTTCAATTTATGTTAAATTGAAACAAGTGTAAGGTGAAAGAAGGTAAAGAAAAAAGAAAAAATATTCCGTTCTACCCTGATTGTTACTATTGTTGTTGTTTTATATTTAGTCAGAAAATAACATGATAAGCTTGGAGAAAGATCTAGTGTCTTTTTCAACAACATTAAGTCATTAGCGAAAACGAAGAAAGAATTTAAGATATTTTACTTTATAAATCCAATTTAAATATGGTGCTTAAAGAAAACTTTGGGTTTATTAATTATGAAAAACAAAGTAAGAAAAAAACAGAAAAGGAAAAAACCGAAGAAATGTCTTAAGGCTACGCTAATATGAACACCTTGTAAATGTTTGGTAAATGTTTTCATTGGACACTAATTAGGATTTTTATTCAGATCAGAATATAACTCCTTGTCTCCGCGCCACACTTCGTTATTCTGCCAGGCGAAAATCACGCGAATGTCTTGAACAAAGATGGACACGCAAACCGATGATCATATACACTTGGCGGAGATGGCCAGCCTTAACAGACTAGAATTTTGTATTTAACAAATTTTTGCATATCACCTGGCGACTTGTAAGCACATTTCGTGGAATGAAACAGTTTCTAAAGAAACTCGATTTTTTGGGGGAACTTGAATGTTCATCACCTCTTTTTTTATTAACTCCAACCCTGTCGCTTGATTAATTGAATTCCTTTTCGTAAAAATCCTGATCAATATTTGTTCCACAAACCCTCTGTTATAGATTAGATGTTTCACTATGGTTTTAAGCAAATAACGTCAGGTTTGAAATTTGATTTGTATAGTCCCTCTCTCTATCTCTCTCTCTCTCTCTTTCAGAATATTCCATTAACCAGAATCCAGAATATTTGGTAATCTTTAGTTTTCTTTTCCAGTAGACGTTTCGCTAAAAGTCAGTAGACATACGGACAGACGCATATGCATGGCTAAATCGAGCGCCCTAAAAGTACATTTTTACAGAATAATTGAAGCGTTTTCCTCTCTACTTTGCAAGGATATCCCTTCTTCCGTGACGGTAATACTTTCGCTTAAAGACGAATCCTAAGAGCCATAATGATTTAATAATAACTTTCTTTTACGATTTGTATAAATTGTCAATTAATTGACACGGACGTGGACGCGTAGTCTTCTATGCCCAAGGAAATATTCCTCCAGCTAAAGAGTGAATATTGTTCGCCGTCAACCTTGTAAAAGAAAAATTTCAGTTGGACTTTTTGTCATATTCCACGGAAATTAAACAACATTTCATTGCCATGAGGGTTCTTTCATTTCAAGAATAAAAAAGGAAAACAAAACAAAACACTTTTTCCGTTTAGTCGTTTATGATATTTAGTCGTCGAGACTAAAGCAGACTATTTAAATGATTCCTCTCTATCGTAGTCTCTGCTTTTTCACTTCGCCCCTTGTTAGGCTTTTGCGAACGTAATCATCATCAGCAAAAGTTTGAAGTTGTAGTTAAAAATGCTAACAGAGTCGCTCACATAAACAACAAACTTTTCTACTTAAAATGTAAAGTTTACAATAATTTCTGATTATTGGCATAAGGCCAACGAAAATCGATCAACTACAATACAATGTTTGTAACTCAAGCTCAAAAGAGTGAATAAGGAGCCTTATGAACACATTACATACATACAGAAAATCGAAATGGAAATCAACGAAACTCCATTTACGTTTTGCATTCAGTTTGCTAGACAAACTTTCTGTGCGGAAGTTTGTCTCTGTGTTTTGTTTTTTGTGTTGCTTTTGCTTTTTTTGTTTTTCTTTTCTTTCATTTTACTTTAATTTCATTCTATTTCTATATAAATTCCAACTGTTAAAAATGAAATGCCATTGCTGCCATAAATTATCACATACTACTAAGAAAAATTATGCGCAATATATATATATATATATATATGTATATATACATGTATATATAGATATAAAAACAAATACGAGACGAGGGTTCTCTAAGAATATTTTGTTATTATTGTTACAGATTCCTGAGAAGCATAGAAAATTTATTTTATTTGTAAGTTTATATTGATGAAGAAACTATTTATTTGTTTTTCTCTTAAATAACTTGACTTAACATATTTTTCTTTTGTTTTCTTTTCCGCTCAAAATTCCGTTTGTCATTTAAAGTTGTTAAAAAGTTTTAGTGTAATCACGTGATATTAATCAAAGGATAAGTCAGATAATAACATGCAAATAAGAAATTTGTCAAAATATCATAAAAGCGCGAATAAAAGCGCATTATAATAAAAGCCTTAAAAGGAGCCAGAAAAGGAAGAATATCGACTAAGTCTTGAGGAAAGTTCCGAAATAAAAGAAATTTTCGGAATAAATGAGAAAGAAAAAGTGATTTTAATACATTAACTTAAAAGTAGGCAAAGAAAAATCACTTGTAATTGTCGCCTAAAACAAGGCAACGTTATTTTTAAAAACATTTTAGTAATGACAAGCAAGCCAACTGGTCGGTAATGGTATATTAGATAATATTTACTATATATCGGCGGTTCTTATATGATTTATATATATCGTCTCGTATATCATATATCGTATAATGTTTTTTTTTTTTTTTTTGTACGTTCATCTTTGAAACAAAGCCTAAGCTCCTATAAAATTTCGCAAACTGAAAATTAATGATTACCATTTCAATACACACTGCTGTACCGCCAAGTAAGGGGACATTGGCTTTTAAAAATAATGTTTCCATTGTAAGCTTTTCATTTTTGAATTTTGCATTTTTCATTATCATTAACATCTGACAGAAGTTTTATTGCATTTGATCTTATTAGCTCTTAAATAAAAGCCCCTTTTCTAGTACAGCCTTGAAAGCAGCTACAGAAAATATAAATTTCCATTATTTTTCCTACGCATATAGTGTTACCCTTGCATTTGTTGACCCGTTTACACAGTATCCCGTACTGAAATTCTTGTGGGCAGAGACTGAGCTCGAAAGTGGCTGTGTTACCAACCCTCAAAACAAGGGAAAAAAAAGCTTATACACAGCAACATAGGTTCAACGAATATTTACTCGGATATATCATTTTATATCATCAAAATTTGTTCGGATATATGTAAAATGCAGAAGGGCTTTAAATAGACCCATTTTTTATTATACCGATCGGCTCAGTATCAATCAAGGCTTCTCTGTCCGTCTTTCTGACCGTCCCTTTTTTGTCTTATTTGATTATGTTCAACCTAAAGGAAGCGCTTTTCGAGATAATTTGATGAAATTCGGTATACCGGCATGTTTTGAGTAAAGGACAAACAAGGCGTTGAAAATCGGACGGCTTTTTTGACCGCTTCCAATACCAAGTTTTATTGCGAAAAGTCGTTATATGAGAAACTGTATTAAGCAAAACGGAGTAGATTATTAACGGCGGACCGTGTTTAACATTATCAATTCGTCTAGATTGGGGCTATAAAAATAGGTAGTAGTTGCATCGTAAATAAACAGACATTCTATATAGATCTTAGTCCATTGTTTTGTTAGCAAATATTGGTAGCATTTTCTGGGGCTGAATATACCATTTCAGCTTTTTATCGTACGTTTATATGTGCGGTCCATTCTTCTTGAAATTTGATCTGTGTACCGTATGCGAGAAAATATATATTCCAAATTTTATCTTCTTGTCTGAATTTCAGCGAATTTGATAATTTTACTAGTAGCTAGGTTGAGGCAGAAGGGCCCGGACGCTCGAATACATAAGTAAACGATCGGATGGATAGACGTATAAATAGGCAGTCGTTCCTTATAGGCAGTTTAATTCAGGACAATTTTGTTGTAACGACGGTCCCCAAGGCGAGGAAATAGCCAGAACTTAAAAAAAGATTCATTTATGAAAGATATATTTAATTAATCAATCAATCTTTAAGACAGAGTAAGCAACTAAGAAAGGAAGGATGAGACGATTGGCCTTAGCGATACATTTTCTTCAAATTGTTGTAAAATCGCAGAATAAAAACAAGAAAAATAATTTCGTTATAAAAATTATTTATCGCCTTTCATATCAGCGGCAGCGCTTGCAAGTACAGTTATCGACTTCACCAACCGCTTATAAAGATGTAAGATATCACTCAGTAAGTTCGTTGGGTGACATAGAGACGTCAACACAATTGACGAATCCTCACCTCACCTCATAATTACTGAGCAGCGTTTGACTCTTAATATATCATGGAGATGTTTGACTCAACCTGCGCTTGTATATTAGAAAATATATTTATAAACATTGTCCAGAGAAAGCAATTTGCATAAGTGGCTATTAAGTGACAAGCGAAGAATATATTTAAATAAATAAAGCCAGTTAAACGCGATGTTTTTAAACTTTAGAAATATTGTCATCATCATCATCTCCATCGCTATTGTCTATATATATGGCTATAGTATAACTTACCTTTCCCGAAGCCATGAATATCGGTGCGAAAATTATCTTTGCCCTTTTGACCGTCAACCAATTGACCTAATCCATCGACATAACGGTCGCCTTGTTCGTAACCATCATACGTCTTATCCGATAAATCGACTTCCATGCCGCGTTGCACACCTTTGGGTATGCTATATGACACTATACCCTCTGGAATAGAAGAAGAGAAGAAAAATACATTAAATTTTCAAAACAAATTTAAGCTAAACACTAAATTATATGGTAACTTGAAACTGTGCAGAAGAAGAAGAAGAAGAAGAAGAAGAAGATGAGTATTTAAATGTGAACATATGTTTCACAACACAAGTAGTTAGCGCCCCCTTAATGCATGTTTATATGGCAGAGTACTTGGCTTGGTGGAAACAAATTGCTAAGCAACTGTAGTTATAAATACGCATAAGTATACACACATATATTAAATTTTCTTTCTTTTCATATCAAATTTCCTTTTTAAGTTAAACAAATTCTTAAGAAGAAAAAGGGGAAATTTATTGTTTTCTCTTATTATTAAATTACAAATAAGTTAAAGTCAAATTATATATAATTTTATATAAATATATATATATATATATATATATACATTTTCTCAGCAATTTTCGGATTTAATATATTACACCAAGTTTGGTGTTTTCGTAAATGAAATTTGAAATGAAATGATTTAGTTTGGAATGCTGCATACAACCAAAAAGAAGAGCATGGGAAAATATTTTAGAAAATTCAGAAGTTGTAAATTAATCCTTGGGCCGGTTTACGGTTCCAGTTACCGACCTATTGCACGTTACGAAAGACAAAAAGTACACGATCATGCTTTGTGTTGATGATACTCGGTTACTTTCGTATGCAGTTGGGCCTCTCGTTCGTTGTATTTACAACGGTATATGTATGACAAACTAATGCTATCGAGTACCATGAGCGCGTAACGAATCTTCGTCAACCCAAAATACAAATTCAATATGGAGTTTGCTCGATAACGAGAACTGCGCCCCATATCCCGACTTGCTTTCTTTTCATTTTTATAGTTCTCTTCAACTATCGTTCTGAAAAGAAAAACTACAACTACAAAAACTTTCGCCGTTTCAAGAAAGAGAATCTTGCAGAAGCGCTTATTCATTAAGTTGTTTGGTCATTTGTTGCAACATAACACCAACTACTACTCTTATTAAATTTTAGATCAATATTTGCTGTAGACTAAGGATTTTTTCAGTCTTTCTTTCACTTTATTTTTACCTTACTTTTTAGATATATTTCTCGGAAAGCAAACCATGAGTAATGAATATGTGAGAATTGCTTTTCGACTGGATTTTGTGACTGATACCTATGTGCTCTTAGATATCTTTAATGCATATACCAAGCAAACCTGAGATTGCTAGTTGCTTTAGAGTCCGTCCTCTCGAAGAGGATGTATTATAATGTCTGTACTCTTTTCGAGTTTGCCTTCACTTTTATCGCTTATAAACTTATTTATGAGCAATCAATTCGTTTTTTATTTTACCTTTTGTAGACATGAAACTTCCCGAACGAAATGCAAATGAAAGGTTGGACAGACGGACAAATCCGCATAGTAAAGTCGTCTTCACTTTGGTTTAAATATTTCGAGTTTGAATGAAAAGAATAATTTATAAACTGGTCCTTCGATAATAAGTGTCGTAAGCACACGGCAGCGTGATTATTACTTTCTATATACCGACAAAGGTTTCATTCGTACGTATTCGTATCATGAATATGTTTATTATTTCATTTATACCTTTTTGTAATATTTTCAATTTCAAGCTTTCCTTAAATTTAATTTCATATTTTATGTGTAAGGAAAGGAATTTCATTTAATCGCATACGTGCGTGTTCTACGTGCATTTTATTTCCGTTAATTTTTTGTCTAAATAACACAATTATTTATATATTCTATCTCCCTTCCTATCTGTTGCTGTCCCTTTTCCTATCGATAGTTGTGTACCGCTCGTGATATACCTTCCACGCACAATTTGATTATTAATAAAACAATAACGATGTAACATAAATATTTGCGTACGCTTGTAAATTCAAATATATCTTGAATAGCAAGAAAAACAACAACAATAACTAATGGTAAGAGAATATAACTATAAATGGACAAACGCATGTAATTACAAATAATTATTATTCAATGTGTACAGGATTAAAACAAATACACAAAATTTACATGCGATTGTATGTGTACCATTGCATGTTTGCATGTATGTTTATACGTTTGTAGATATGTCTATGGAAAGTTAATGGATGTGCTTGTTTATATGTACATTTATAATTATATAGGCCTAAATAGCAATAACAATAATTGTTTGTTGGGAAAATTAAACAACAACAACAACAACAACAACGACAAGAACAAGAATACGAATAACACCCACCGTGCTAGTATACGTTTGCATATTAAAATATACATGCGTACGCATATGTGCAAAGATGTAAGGTGTTATAACGATTTAATATTAATACCATCGATTTGAGTGGGTTTTAAAAGAGTTTATTGGTTTTATTTATTAAATTCATTTTTGTATTAATATTTCATATTTTAAATGATTAACTTTTGGATTGATGAGCTTGAGTTTCCATCAACTCTGTATGTATGTATACTTTAACGGATAATTCATTAAATTCTTTTAATAATAAAATATTCTACATAAATATATATCTTAAAATAAATTCTTTAAATTTAATTAAAAGGCAGCTAAACGCTATATTTCGCTACAGCCCATCATTAAATACCCTTCAACGCTTCACGTAATACGATTATTCAAAATAAGGTTCCATTCCAAACATGTTCGAAAATTGTGTTTCAATACAAGAAAACAAGACGGACTGACGGACAGACAAGCTTAAATCGATTCCGAAAGTGATACTGAATCGATTGGTAGGTCTTATCTCAAGTCATCTTAGGTGTTGGACACATCATCACAAGTTTAGAATACACCCTTGCACCACAAGCGCTGCTGGGTGTAATAAACGGAAGAAAAACGAAAAATCATTACAAATTGTCGTTAAAGCAAGAACCTGAGGCATATTCTTGAAATTTTTGACTTTTCCCTATTCAAGGTTCAAGAGAAAGACGCATTTGCTTGTCGATTGTATGCTACATAGGTGTTTCGTATGTAACTCGTACTTATGGAACGCGGTTTGGGCACAGCACGACCCAAAATTTACGAATATTACCGTCCGATACTGATAGAACACGATTTCAAAATAACCGATGGATTTTCTTTTGTTCTACATCTACAGCAGTTATTCTAACATTAAGAGCCGTAAAAAATCTAAGAAGAAAGATTAACAGATCTTGATATTGACGGCAATCATCGGCATTACTACTCTTTTTGCAATGAAATTGTGGTTTGACTTATGCTTTGGGAAATTATAGTCTTCTCCGCAGATTCCTGCTTCATGTATGGATTAGGCTCGATACAAAATTGCCTAATTAACTGCCAGAATTTCAGAACCCTTTCGGACCACTTGCCAATTCAATTACAAATTATTCTCGTCCTTTTGCTTACTTCTCACACGAGTACAGTAAATATGAAATAATAATAATTTTAACGATTTTTTTCATCAATACGATCAACGGTGTACTGCTTAAAAGGAGGAGCGATTTCAAATTTGAAAAAAAATGTTTCCGGATAGAGACACGCGCATGCCACTCTGGTAAGAGTGGGACCCATCTATAATCTCCGCCTTTCTTTTGATCAGACACACTGCTGCGCCGCAACTCCATATTAAGCAAGCAAGCAAACAATATTTTCTCGTAATTTGGGTCAAAAGCAGTCACCACGAAACTCGTGCAGGCCCAAGCTCAAAAATTATGCAGGTAAAGATTGATTAGGACGAAAAAGGTGCAGGCTTTTTCCCACCTAAAAGATTGCACATAGTTTCAGCAGCACAGTGGAAGGTTTGACATTGTGTATGATGATAGAGTTAAACAATTATTTCTAGAAAAGTTCAATAATCGTGTTGCGATCCTAAGCCGAACTAGATGCCAAAGTCTCTAAGGTTAATTAATAAGGTTTCTTAATCGCTGCAAAAAACAGGCGTGTTTACGATAACGAGAAAGGCAAGGACCCCGGTCTTTCTTTTCGTTTCTAAATTTGTGAAAAATGGCCTGGCAGCAAAGAGATTTATCGACCCTTTTTCTCTACCGTTCACCACGAAAAACTAATTTTATTATAAGCCGATTGGTCGATGAGTTTCTTTCTCTTTTCCATGGATGGATTATTTGCTCATTTCTTATAAGAATAATGAACACTTTCCGCGGCTTTAAGAGTTATTTTGAAAGAATTTTTAAGACAACGTAGTATTAGGGCTGAAGGTTATTCGGGCTTATGTGCATGAAAAGAAGAAAAATATTAGTTTTTATTCGAGCTTCTAAATTTTAATTAATACACCCACTTTGTGTATAATTTTTTTTCTAATTCTCGTCTTTCTCTCTCTCTCTCTCTCTCTCTCTCTCTCTATCTACTCAAAAAAATCAATTAAAAATTTCAATAAATTTTAAAATACTGTCAAGCGGAACCTCGTGCCATGCAAACTATAAAAGAAAAAAATTTATTATATTTGGTTAATAATCTAAAAACAGAAATAAAAAACAAATTCTTTTACATTATTCAAAATGTTCGTCATGTTGTAGTATTAGGCACGTTTAACTACATCATAAATATATTATGATTATGTAATTTCAGCTAAAAAGCATAAACAAAAAAAAAAAAAAAAAAAAAAAAAAAAAAAAAAAAAAAAAAAAAAAACTATAAAACATGCTATCTCGAAACACGAAAATACACGTTATATATAGACAAACACACACACACTTGTACATATATGTATACACTATATATTTTATATATTAAGTATATATATAAATATATACATCTAACTAAAAGGTAGTATTTGTGTGTGTGTTAGGTACCATGATTAATTTGCATATGAAAGGTTCGAGAACGTAAACGAAGATACACACTTTTGTACATATATATAAAAAATGATAAGCGAAATGACAAGCAAGGACTATAAGGCTTTAGTAAAAAAGTACAAAGCAACAACAACAGCGACAACAACAAAGTGAGCCTTTTAATAATGTGTTGATTTTCTGGTTCATATTGTCTTTTTCCTTTTTTGATAAACAACAACTATAA